AATTTAATATAGTAAAATCAATATAAGGCGAAGAACAACAACATCTAATTGTTATGGATTTTACGACAGTTCATTCATTAATTGAAATTATAAATATAACTAATAAATTTGCACGTTTTTTTATAAATAAAATCGACAGACAATCTGTCATTCCAATTGCTGATGACAGCGGATGACAGATAGTCCCAAAAAGTGAGGTTATGTTAACCACATTATTTTTTAATTCGAAACTTATTTATTTTCGAATATTCTAAACAAAAAATTAATTTTTATTTTGAGAAACATATTTTTTCTGGAATAAAATGAAAGAAAATATCTATTATTCTACTTTTCTATAGTATCAAAACTCTTTATTCAATCAGTATATACATGGGCGTCCGCAACGGGGTGCAGGTACGTGCCGTTAACGCATAACCTCGATCAAAAAAAATTAATAAAAAATAAACAATACATTTTACTTCCAGCCAGGGACTATTTTAAGCTGATCCAGTTGTTAAGTTTTTATAAAATTAATATAATCTTTGAAAAATCGAGGACAATTTCGATTTAATAGAAAATGTCGATTCAATGGTAAAATATGTATATAATTTTTCAAAACCTAAAAAAATTCTGCTCGCTTCGCTCGCGCTTTTTTTACTTCCCTACATGTATTGCATCATACATTTTTGATCTACAAAAGCATGACGTTAATAATAATGAGACATTACAATCAGTTTTTATTAAGTGCAAGAAGAAGTGTTAAACAGATTTGCTTCTGATTCAAGACGATTAGTTTTTTTCGAAAAAATTAAAATGTCCACGACTTTTATTGCTCTCGCACCTCCCTGATCAAATTCCTGCGGACGCCCCTGAGTATATAATGATTGTGACAAACTGTGACAGCCACTTTGTTACAAAATGCGGTTAGTGTTCGGAACAGACAATAGAAGTGCTTTCGTGGATAAAATTTATACAGAAATTCCTATACCAAGCTCGAGCTATGTTTTGCACATGAAAACCAAATAAGATGTTGAATTTGTAAATTTTTTGAGGTTGACCGTGCTGATTATGGTTGATTTTTCCATTGACGAATGTGTTGATTTTGCCATAAACCACCATTTCGAATAGTTTTGCAATCGTTGGTATTATCACAACTGGCCGGTAATTCGATGTATTGCTTTTGTTCCCAGATTTAAATATTGGTACAATTCAAGAATTTCTTATTGAAGCCGGAACACATCCTTGATTCAATGACTTACAGAATAGCAGTGCTAACGGTTTTGTCAATGAGTGCGCACAAAAATCTGAAGAAATCTGGGAGCTTTACCTGTATGATATCGTGAGAAACAGTCATCATTTTCACAAAAAAAAAAATATTCTCAAAGTTTGAAGGGATTTTGACGAAAGTTAAGGACACCACCATACAACATGTTTGAGCCAAAAATCGAAAAATTCACAGAATTAAAATATAAATTTAATTTTTTTGTATTTTTCTATTTAAAATCCATGTTTATTTACATTCATTTGTTTAATTGCTGTTTTTTTTTTGTTTTCGACAAATTGATGTAGACTACTTGATTTTGCTTATGTAGTCTACTATAGGTTTTCGACATGTCAAAAATGTCGAAAATTCGACAGAGTTTACAAGCATGTCGATTCATATTGAATAAATAAACGAATATACTTTTGAATTTCTGCTATAGATTCCAAATGTAAACTCACAATTAAAATGTTGATACACTTCAATAATAGGCATTCTGTTAATTTGAATAAAACACGAGCGTAATGCGAACGATATATTTATTGACTTTTGATATTTTACATTATATGAAATTATTACGGATAGTGTGAAAAAAGTTGGAGTCAATAGTATTATTTGAGTATATATTTAAGCGCGATATCGTTAAATATCTTTGTACAATTGTTGAAAGTCGGTAATATAATATTGAGAACGGTTTCGAACTTCGTCACGTACGACATTGCCACCGTACCCGATGAAGTTGTCAGCTGGCGGTGATGCTTCAAGGTCAGTAGCACCATCACCAATCATTGTTATACTGACGTTTTGTTGTTGTTCTCCCAGTGATCGTCGAATCATGTTAATTGCTTCACCTTTTCCACCAGTTCGTGAGGTAGGTTGGTTCGCATCAAACCCAGCATATTTACCTAAAATCAGAAAAAAATCAGACAAAAATGTCGTTAAAAAATACAACATCCTATACATTTTAGAAATTAATTGGCAAAGAGGTGGCAAATTAATAATATGAGACATACCATTGAAATGGAAGTACAATTTATTGGCAAACATGTGGCCAAATGGAATGCCAAGTTCTTCAGCAATAGGTTCGATCAAGCAATCAAATCCACCAGTAATGAGATAAACTGTTTTATTTGCATCACGCAATCTACAAACAAATTCTTTGATGCCCGTTGATAATGTGCTGGGATGTGATTTAAGAAATTCTCGAATTTGCTGCTGTGTTGGTTGAATAATATTCAAACGTAATAGTAGTGCCTCTTGGAATGTCATTGATCCTTTCATCGCTTCTTTTGTTAATCGAGCTACTTCATGGCCTTTGCCGCAAAACTTTGCCAATTCATCAATACCTTCTTCACGTATTACTGTTGAATCAACATCAAAGCACACAATATGTGAATTCTTTATAACCTGTGCCGCTCCAGATGAATTCTTTGATTTATCACCAGCTAAAAGTTGAGACAGAATTGAAGGAGAAAATCATACGGAGAATTCAATATACGGGGAAATGTTTGTGGTGTATTTAGTCACCAAATTTTGGTGAATAATATAAAGATCTCTAATACAGTAGCTTTTTTATATGAAATCTGTCACACTAA